TCTGACCGCAGATGCAAATATTCACAGTCTTCTCGGAAGAATTAAATTATATCTAATTTGGAATACTTTAATACTTAAATTTGCTTTCAATCCAAGATAAGGTTGCGTGTCGATAGCGTGACCACTTCGAACGTCACATATTCTTCCTCTAGACTTTTGTTCTAAGATCACACCAGGAAATTAATTACTTAGTTAATTGGTTCGTTGATAATGCATAGCAATTTTTAGTACTGTGTTACATAGCAATTTAAACAAACTGGAAGTAAAAGTGGACATAATTTGCGTTACTTGAGTTGATAACATTTCGATTTATTATGTTTCATGAAAATTATACTTCTTTCCTTCTGGGCGTATTTAGGACAAAAAACAAACAATTTACCAAATAAAGTGTTGGATGATTTCTCCAACAGAGTGCATAAAAATGTACTGAGATTTTGTTTGTTTACCCCTGATTGCTGGGTGAGCGTGATATTGAGACACATTGAGTGCGGTCTACCAATAGTGTAAATTTATTTTATTTTTTTCTTTAAAATACGGATTATAAGCGCCTGAATCAGTTTAAGCGACAGTTAAATTTTTACATCATTGTATATGATGATCGATGTTACAACCAAAGCGTAAGACAATATTCGTATCAAAATCATTTACAAAAAATATATTAAATAAGAACGACATGCAAATCGGTAGACTATTCTCAAGCATTGTACTAACAGTATACGCAAATAATAGAAATGCAATCTATTAAATTTCCAGACTGGCATTACCCCATCAATTATTTCATCAAATCAAATAATCCTGGTAAAATTTTAAGCTGATGGTTTCAGTAGGCATACGTATTATTCGGAGGCAGGCCCGTTGCTTGGCCAGATTTCATCTGCGAAAAGGCCGTTGCCATGGGAACGCAAGAAATCGATAGTCGCAGCCTCTATAACCAGGAGCTCTATCCTGGGCTCGAGTCCGCTCCTAGTGCTCTTTTCCAGAGAGCATACCGAACTGCCCGGGGTTGCCGGGTTGTCGTGGTTTTATTGCAAATCGAGTGGCTCATTTGTTCGTTTTTTCTACGAGTTAATGGAAATAGAGAATTAATTAAAGGCGTTTCAATAGCGCGGTAATGCGAACACGTTTTGCCATGCTTTCGAAGCTCGACACCTTCAGCCAGGTTTGCCTGTGAAATAATTTAGTAGCCGATTATGGTACTGTGCAGTATAGTAAAGTGTCAGAACTGAATGAAAAATGAGTAAATTCCAATTTTATTGCTTATTACTGGCTACATTCTGAACACTTTTTTGAACTTTATATTTTCAATAACGTACTTTAACTCTTTGAAAGTTTGTTTGATTTTTTTATTTCAGCAAACAAGTTAACGAACGAAAATCTCAGTCATCACTAAGAAACGCTGATTAGCATCCAAATCTTTGAATAATGGAATAGATGAACTTTTAATGTCAAAGACGGCGAGATGCAACTATGTTTTTTTGAGCTTCCAAATGCGCGCCCTTTGCCAAAGTTCCGCTTCAATTCAGTTTATCATTAGGGGGCCGCAAGTGCAAGAAGAACAATTTAATGGCGTGATTGGCGGGATTGAGCCAGTAAATAGTCAGCCGTGGTAAACAAAAGAGTCTGACAAAAACTTAAAGAAATTAGTTCCATTCAAATACATTAATAGATAGACATAGTCGAATCTAATCATTCATTAATCTCAAATGGATTGAGAATAGATATAGATAAAAATAGGTGGAAAGGATATAATATAATAACTAAAAGTAGATGCAAAGGCCGTTAGATATATTTACGAACATTATAATTAATCCGAGGACACACTCTGTTTTTGGCACAGATGCCATGGGTTTATTTACTATTTAAATTAATCGACTTATTTTAGTGTAAGCTTGTTGAACTGACAGCTTCTTCTATGACTTTCCAGATACTATAATAACATAGAGGTTGATCCATTAAATAAAGGAAGTTGGTACCCTATACGAAAAACTCGAACACCTTGTATATTGGTGCATTATTTTAAGTCACGCTTTGTTTCTATACACGCAGATTAATACTATTAGAGGGCAGTTTCGATTTTTCAATTTCTTCTGCCGACTTAGTACCTACAGTGCTGTTCCAAATGTAACCGGGTTTCAAAATTTAAGTGACTATACCTGGMAAACTAGCAACRGTAGTCCCTATAAATCTTATATGAAAATGAWATSMWWATTATGWAAATTTGA